TATACACCAGAAGTTGTTCTAAATGTTAAAGAGGCACAGAGATAGAAAATCTTACTTTTCTAGAATATCAAATACAGAGGAACATTTTGCCACTATTTCTTACATTTACATTATTTTTTCTCTTTTATTTCTTTTTCATTTTAAAATCTTTTTATCAGCATTGTTTGCAATACTTAATGTCTGACATACTTTCGAGCCTTAAAAGATTTCCAGTACAGGTGTTGCAATGCTTAGCTTCATTGTCATCTCAGGTGACTTGGGAGCTTCTGAGGGGATGAGTAAAGCACACTTCTGGTGGGTGAGGGCCATGGAAGCACAGCTTCAGGGTCTACATCTGGTTCCTGGCTGCTTCCTTCCTGGCGCTGTTCCCCTCCTCTGTTTCCAACCCTCCTCTAGCTGCCAGGACCTAGGAAGCTCTGCCATCAAAAATGGTCCTTCCACCACGAAGTTGCTACATAGGGGGAAGGGAGGAGCAGACTGAATTCTTTGAAACCATGAACCAAATAAACTTCGATTTGAAACTGGGTGTCAGGTGTTTTGTCCAGGAGTGGAAAGTAATGCAGTATAATTACCTGGTAAATTCAAGAATCTCCATGAAATATACACAGCTAGATCTCTTGCTTTTCAGGGTATAATGTGTAATACAGAGTGTAATAAGGCCTTGATATTTTGATCCAATAATATTACATAATTAAATACAATAATTAAATACATAATTAAAATACAATATCTTGAGAATAGTTAACAAATTGGTTTATCCTTTATGGTAAATATTGCATAAGTATAAGATGATAACTAAGAAAAGACTTAATAAAGAGTTTAATATAAAAAATAAGTATAAATATTTTAGATATAAGTGTACATTTAAGCCATATTTAAACTCTATGAAACCATTCATGTATGTCAATAAATGTTACAATGGAAAAAATCAAATGATACTAATTCTTGCATATAATAAATGCAATTTTAGGTGGAGTTTTTCACTATTTTTCAAAATCATTAAAATTTCATGAGGCAAATGCCATATTAATGTATAACGTATATATTTCTGAAGAAAATAAATACTCATGGAGGATAAAGTCAATTGAATAGGTTTTACTCTAAAAATTGAACACACTGGGATTCCAACCAATGATACAGAAAAGTAGCAGAAAAGCTTAAATTGCTCTGATTGTGAGGAGAAAGGAAATAAACTGGAAATGTACATTTGTGGTTCTTTATTAAATAGCTTTGCTGAGTTATGTTAACATAAGTATATCACAAAGTCCCCATGGGTTAAGATAAGCAGTACTATCCCTGAGTTGCAACCAAAAAACGTGAAACTCAGAGAACGTGAGTTCTTACAGGGGAAGTGTGGAGGATGAGAGATTTATAGCCAGGTTCACCTGACTTCAGGTCTGTGTCCTTTCAACTCAATCCACTGCCTTCTTCAAGCATGGGAAGCCTATAGGGATGTGTCTCCTTCACACTAATGGACACCCAGAGTTCTTGGATATGGGAATGGGCCGATCACAGCCCTAGAGTGATTTCGCCTGATTATTCCTGGCTTGGTGGGCTCTGGGATTCCACATTCCATCAAGTCCACTCTGCAGGACCTTAGATTCCATCTCTCCAGTTCTTAAGTACAGTTTCTTCTCCTCTCCTGGCCATCTTGAGAACTCTGTTACCCAGTTTTAAATAGTGTGAATTTTGCCACTACTCCAACTCCTGTTGAATACAATCCTCTGCATAACAAGAGGTACAATTGTTGTTCTCTTTGAAGTGCCTCTCCCAAAGCGGCCTGCACCTTGCACATGGGTAGCAATGGAACTTAACTAAAAATGTTTTCCTATATACATTTCACAGAATGAGCAACATTATGGGAAGCAGTGGAATCACTGAAGACATTCCGCCAGGAAAGATGCAAAGCGCACAGATAGGACACACAGACCCCTCTAGCTCCTCTCAGTGTCCACACGGCAACCTGCATAGTTTCATTCAGAACCATCTACAGTTCCTGGGTGTAAGTGATTTTTAGTTCTCTAAAGAAGTAAAAGTGACTATGGAAAGTTAAAGTTTCTTTTATTGTATTTGAGATGAACTATATTACACACTTTATATGATTAAATTAAAATTGTTATGAAAAAAGTCTAGGAATATATTAGGTCAAATGACATGATTTGAAAGTGTTCTAGGCTCCCCAAAATGAAACACTGTGAGTTTTCTTCCCAAATATACTGAGGCATTGTCCACTGATAGGGCCAGATAAACTGACACAAATGTACTTTCACAACTCTAAGTATTTTTTCCAAGGGACAATAAAGGTGGAAAATATGTAATGTGATCTTGGAATTCCAAGAAGTAATGCAATTTTTCTCCTTTAATCCTCATATTTACTTTTCCTTCATGCAGGCAATTCAAATAATGATTGGCCTGAACTGTTTGTTACTGGGGGTAATGGAGGCTGTTTTCTCCTTGTCCTCCATCTTGCAAAGCATTTTATCCAGCTTTTACATGGGCTTCCCATTCTGGGCTTCAGTGTCTGTGAGTATGTCTGTTCGAATAACCTTGGAAATTAGGGAAGTTTGGGGGTAAGCTGAAATAAAAATATTCAATGTGATGACCCACTTTTTGTAGAGAATAGCTAAGTGACTTTTTTATTGGAGGTATTGTGCCAAGCACTAAGGGAATTCATGAAAGGAAAGGACACATAAAATTGCGCCCTAGAACTGCTACAGAAGATGGCGAGAACAATGGGATAAATGTGTCCAAATGATGAGGAGTATTTTGAATGGGATCAATGGCAATGTGTCTTTTATTGTAATTTTTTTAATTTAAAGATTCATTATATATTGGATCACATCTCTTATACAGAGAAGACTCACTGTTCACATCCAGCTTGATCACATAGCATATCCCCAGAGTCCTTGTCTCACCTCTTTCCTCCTGCACATTATTCTCTCCATACAACCATATTCCTTTTTAACATTATTTTAAATTTTAGCTGCCACAAAAGGTGTTTCCTTTACATCTATGAGTTAACATTTCCACCTACATTTCCATTTCTCATGCTTCTGCACATCTGTTCCATGTCTTTCTAGCAACCTGGAAAGAATCAAGACAGACACATGTATAGGATTCAAGCCAATGAGTTATCCTTTTAAAATGTTCTTTTATAATATGCATATTGACTTGGGATGTAGAGAGCTTTGGTGGGGCCTTCAGAGTTAGAGTGGCTATAACAGATGGGAAAGAGTTCTGTCCCATTGTTGTCTTTCCTGTCTTGTAAACAATTCATTATTTCTGGAGCTTTGACAGTCTCATCTGCAAAAACACATACAAAATTTCTGGTGAGTACTGTTATCCTTTTTATTCACTTAATGGGCATGGGACATTCAACTTTGAATCTCTACACATAGCTAAAGTAAAAAGCTTTAAATATTTCAGTGAGTTTAATTGACTATTTCAATTTTTACTTCAAGAATATTTATAATTCCTTTTGTTTGGTTTTTTCCAATGGGCATTCATGTGTCAAAGTCCAGAAAACTTTAATGTAAGTTTCCCAACAAAATATAAAAGAGCCTTTGCATATAGACCTTTATCACAGTAGTTGAAGGGTCATTTTGACAGTCTAAAGAGAGAAAGAGAGCATATTTTATGGCTGGAACCTTCCAATTCAGTTTTAATAAAGGTTGGTTATATAAAAAATCATTTCTACCAGTGACAGTAAAACAAAGTCCCCATCAGGTTGGCTCTGCCTGTGACATTTCAGTTTTGGAGAACCAATTATTTAATTCTGCAAGATACTATGCCAGAAAACTTTTTTCTAATAAGTTGAACTGAATGAGTTGAACCACTTGCGAATTTCCCCACTGGCCAATAAAGACAGATTGTACCTCCAGGATGCCTTGTGAAGTGTGTCTACATTTGCAGAATTCATAGTCAAGAATAAAAAAGATTCTGGGTGTTTTTAATCAGGATGCAAATCTCTTTCAGGTTGGAGTAAATATTGGAGCTAACATCATCAGCACAGTACTTTCAATTATCGAGCTAAATCTATTATTCTTTAATTTAATGGACATATTACTATTCTACTGTGTTGACTTTTATGAGTGCCCTATGTCTAAATCATTAGCCACTGTAAGTATTATGTAGTTGGAAGATATTTTAACATGTAACGTGTTTTCCCTACAATAATCTCCCATAAGCAAAGACTAAAGATGTGTTTCTAAATGCTCAAATAGAATATAAAAATACATTAAAAGTTTGTGCAAAGACAAGGTAAGGGTTTTTGTACATAATTACAGAATCATGTGCATAAAATTATGTGTATGGTTTCATATATATATATATATATATATATATATATATCTGTATATTCTTTCAAATATCCTCTAATGGACAAAAAATTTTATAATGAAGCACTATCTATGGATAAAAATGTCCAGAAAAGAGAAAACTGGTCTGGAACATTAATCAAGAATTTACCTGCTTGTGGATTACTGGTAAAGTTACACAAAATTAGTGAAAGTTATTAAATTTTTCAAATTCGGGAACTGATCTGAGACCTTTCTTAGTTTACTCAGGAGAATCTAAGTCTAATGTTGATGAATACATTCTTTCTGTGGCTAAAGTTGAGTTACCTGAGTCGTGTGTGTGTGTGTGTGAGTGTGCGTGTGTGAATCCTTAGTGTGCTCAAGGTGTTTCTTAACTATGTGAAGAGCAACAATTAAAAGTAACCAACTCTAGAATGTCAAGAAACTTCCTAGTGGAGCCTGTGTCAGTCAGAACCCCCATGACCCATATTTCTCTCTGTAGAAGTCTATTTATGGTTAACCACCTGGAGAAGGCTGGTGTCATATCCATTGCATCACTTCGGTGGTCTCTGCACATCTAGGATGGGAAACACACCCTTCCGCTGAATATCCATTAACCCTGACTCTGGGGAGCTAGAATGAGATCACTTCAGGGTAGAGATGGGTAAGGAAACCTCAACCCTGAACTTGCCTTCTCTTTGACAGAGCATCTTGGTCCTCCAAGTGATAGTGACATGCATTCAGCTTGCCATTTCTTTAACCCTCTCTGCGTTCACGTATCATGTGGCTGGTAGTGAGATCAGCTGGGTAAGTAGCCTTCCTGTGGGAGAAGCAGATGGAGCATTTGAAGTAGTTGACAGAGTCACGTGTGCCAAATCTGTGTGTGCTCCTGTGCATGTATGTGTACAGTTTCTCATGCTGCCTATGTGTGCTCTACCATAGATTCTGCAAAGCCTCATACTTGGTGGCCGTGCAAGTCCCCAATCGTATATTTCTGTTTCCATGTTTCTAAAATGAAAGACATAGAAATGTAACGACTCACTGTATTCATGGCTTTATGTCATTTCATAAATGGAGTGGACTTTTGTCCTACTGCTCAAAATTCCCTATGTGCTGGCCCAGATTTCTGGATAAATAAATACTTCACAAGTTCACTCAGAACTTTTAAAACACCATTTAGGTATTTTATGGTAGTTCACACTGGCTAACATTTCCCTCTTCAGGTTGTTGTGAAGGGACTGGCTGAGAATGGTGTTTCGCCTTGGTTACTACTGACATTTGGGGGTGGATATTCCTTTGTTATGGGGAGATGGATGCTTGTGGACCTAGTATCTTTGGAGCATCTCAGCAGCTGGATGACATTACTTCTTTCCCAGCCCCACTGTTATAGCAACCAAAATGTCTCCAGATACTGACACATGGTACCTGGGGAGGAAAATTACCACCACTGGAGAACTACTGAGCTAGATAGAGCATTGCAGAGATAAGGTCAGGCCACAAAAGTGAGAAGCGCTGAGGACTTGAATGAAACAACTGTGGATGGTTATGTGATCCTATTTGCAGGTTTCTGCACTAAGCTGCTTCATCAGATCAAATTCTGAAGATCCTTACCAAGACCTGTTAGCTCAAGCTGAACCTTATGAAGACTTGACCATGCGAGATATGTCTCCCATCAGCTATGACCCATAAGAACTGGATAGCATGAGATCTCACCTGATGCACCCATGATCCATGATGACAAGCAAAGGAATTTTTGGGTAAGAATTTTTTGCATATATTTATTTTTCTCCTTTTTTAACATGGTGTCTTCAACTCTTTTTTTAACTCATCATGTTTGTCATACATAATGATCACATTTGTCATGTGAAATTTGTGCCTTTACATAATATATCTTAATCCTTTATCTCATGCCCTCCCTTCCTTTCCATCCTTCATTTCCTTCTCTTTGCACATCCAAAATGCATATTAATGCATGTTATTAGTACCTACCTGCAGTACATGATTACATTTATCATGGAGCATCTATAGCAGTACATAACATATTTTAATTCTCTTCTATCCCCTTTCCATCCCATCCCTCCCGGATGATTCCTCTCTTACTCCCTTTCCCAGTTGAAAAAGCTCTAAACATAGATATCCTTTCCATGTCTTTCATTAAGCAATTTCATACACACACACACACACACACACACACACACACACACACACACTTATGCAAATATATACACATGCAAATCAGCATGTATAAGTCCTTTATTTCAAGACTGACCAGCCAGTACTCACATTTGCACTCCATACATCAGTGACTTCTTTTCACTTACGTTACCTATTTCCATTTTCTAGGTAATTTTAATTCTTAGCTTAATAGAGGTGTTCATTGTGACTGCTCCATGCCTTTTGCCAGAAGATGTACCTCCCATCATGGATGAGAATTTGTTCAAGCTAAGTCTTTAACAGATAGTTTAGATGAATATTGGCCTGTCCTTGATACTGAGACCATCCAAGTTCCTTTGTCTGTGAGTGTTCCAGCTCTTTCCTGTTTTTGTCAATGTGAACTTGAGAAAATAGAATGGCATAGAAATAATTTATTGAAAAAAGTATAATGTGCTATATAACACAAACCTAATGAAACATCATCTTTCTCACAATGAAAATGTGAAGATGTAATCACCCTGCCACCCAATCAGGATGGAAATTGGTCATCCACCACAGGGACTGTGTAAGACATGATCCCTCCCCAGGAGGTTTTAACATGGGGATTTGAATTCCAGTATTTTTTTGAGGAATAAATAAAAATATCAATGGAGAATGAAAAAAGCTAAAAGAAAGTCAGAAGAGAAGGCATATTCTATTTCTGTAACAAAATACAACAGACAAGTTGATTTAACCAACAGAAACTTGGTTGGTCTCACAATTCTATAAGCGAGAGACCTGAGATCAAAATATTTTCACAGTTCACTTTATTTGTAATTTCTCTCCTTGGCTTGGAGAAAATGCAATCAATAAAATACATACTGTTAAGCAGTTCTATCAGTGTGTAAAGCAGATTATAATCTAGAATGAAAATTCCAAGAACTATAGTTGTGTACTAACTCCTTGTAGTCACCAGTTGAAAGGTATTCCCAGGTGATTTTCATCCTTGGATGTGTCTTCCTGCTGTGTGCATGGCAGACCATCCTTCCCTGGGTTTGGAGAAAGTCTTCAGACACAGAATCCCGGGTGCTGTGAAGAAACAAAGGCTGTAGACATTGGTGGCCCTGAGACTGTTAGCCAAACCACACTCTCCTGATCTTCTCTTACCTCTCCTATTGGGTTATTTTCTTTTTTAACTATTAAATATCACCTTTAAGAGATTGCAGTAGTAGAACAAAGTACAGTGCCCTCAGCTAGTTTTTCTAAAGCTATAATGAACATTCACCTAATTCACCCCCAATTTCTTGTTTTGATCTTCATGTGAAATTCCATCTTCCTCCAGCACTTGTGTTCATCTCAGGTTCTTTCGGCTGAGGCTATCCTTTCTTGTTGAGAAATCTGAGGTTTTGCTTGGACAGTCTTGCCATGGTTCCTCCAAATATCCATTGATGGCTATTGCCTGGCATGAAACCGTCAAGGTATAATCCCGTAAGTCCTGTGAGTACCACACCCGATTCTCTCTCCTCCATTATTTAAAACAATGCAACTTCTTCAGGTTGAGTGAACACTCTGGAGCCACTTCTTTCATTCCCTTCTCATTCACTATTTTTGAAGATTCCTGACTGAATGTCATTGTTACTTTTAGACACTGTATTGTGTCCCTCCATAAAATATCCCATCCCTTATTGCAGGGGCAGTCATTTCAGTTCAGCAATGATTAGCAATTAAACGCAGTAATGAGAAAGTAAACAACCCACATAAAAACTGCACAAAATAACTGAACACTTTACCAGAAAGTAAAGAAAATTGAAAATGGCAAAGAAGCACATGGCAAGAAGTTCAATTGTAGGAAATATAGTTTTTAGAAAAATTAAAATTATTACCCACAATGAGATGTCCATAGAATGGCTAAAACTTGTTTTTTATTAGTATGTGTTTGTGATGCATAATTATCCTTCATCTTGGAAAATTGATACATACCTGTATCACATCTGGATCCATTTTATTGCTCCCTCCTGCCCACCATCTCTTCTTCCTCCTGCTCCAGGTCTTCCATCCCCACAGAGTCTACCGCATTTCCTACCATCTGTCTTGCATTTTTCTCTTTAAATTATTTATTTCATAGATAGTTCATATTAGAGAAACCAAATGCTAGTTTAACTTTCTGGATGTGATTTATTTCTCTTAGTATTATGGGCTAAAATCCACCAATTTTCCTACAAGTGATTTGAATTTATCCTTCTTTATGGCTTCATAGTACTCTATTGTGTAGATATAACACTTTTGTTTATTTGTTCATCTGTTAATGGGTATGTACACTGCTTCCATAATTTAGCTATTGTGAGTTGTGCTGCTTTAAATATGAGTATGTGTGGATCACTATAAGATGTTGATTTTTAAATCTTTTAGGAAAATATCCAAAAAAGGTATAGCTGGGTCAAAGGAAAGTTCTATTTCTGTTTTTAAAGGAATATTCACATTGATTTACTCATATCCAGTGCATACTCTCGCCATCAATGTAGGATTGTTCTTTCTTTCCCCACAATTTTGCTAGCATTTATTGCTCTTTGAGTGCCTGAGAGTCAATAGAATGGTTAAATTTTTTTAAAAAACTGATCATAACCAAAACTGGCTTGAATGTGGAGAACAAGAACTGTCATCACTAACTGTTGGGAATGTGGAATGGTACGATACTTTAGAAAACACACTGGTATGTAAAGATATACCTACAACCCAGCCACTGAGCTTCCTGGCATTTAACCCAAGGAAATGTAGGTGTGTGTTCATTTGAAGACTACATACCAATGTTCACATAAGTGTCATTAGAAACCCATGACTGGAGACATGAAAATGCCCACTGACAGCAAATAGACAAATGATGGTACATCCATATTATGGAATACTGTCACTGATCAATAAAAAGGAAGGGGCTACCTCTATACACTGACACATGGCCAAACATAAAAGCAATCCTGTTGAGTGGCAAAAGATAGGCAATAAAAGGTACATGCCACATAATTTCATTTATCAAATATTTGAAAATGGTAAAGCAATCTATAATGACACAAAACAGACCAGTGCTGTCCTGGGAGATGAAAAAAATGGAAAGGACGGGATACTTTAGGGGAAAGGTGGCAGTGGTCAATACTAAGGCTGTGAAAATGGCTCAAGCTTTGCTGAGAAGTTGAAACTTCATTCCAATAACAGCCTTAAAATAACTGTACATTATTGTATGTCAAGGATACCTCAGTAAAGATGCTTCTGTTGAATTTTAAAAACCAGTGTTCACATGGCTGAGGTGGAGATTTCATCAGAGCTTCATTTCTCTGAATTCATCTTCATGCCTGGGGACAAGACTTATGTGGCAAGTACTGAGGCAAAATGGAGGAGGGTCTCTGCTCTAAGATTTCCTTGACTTGATGTGGGTCTTTGTAAGCATGGAATTGCCTCTTTTGGGAGTGAAAACTAAAAACAAGTGTGATTCTCTCCCCAGCTCTGCAATGCATAGATGCTACACATTTTTATGCTTTATGTATACTTTTGTAGAGATGAGGTACCTCATGCGGTTCTTCTGTGAAGACTTAATCTGACTGTGGACCCAGATGAATATATGAGATTATTTGTATCTTGTGGGCAAGTCATGCCATTTCCCCTTAAGGGCTATTTCACAACCAAGGGGCTTGTTCTGAGATACTATCTTCTAATGTCTTTATGTCACTGTATCACTCAGGGTTGACTAGAGAAACATAACACAAAATACACAATTGTATAAGAAATTACAAGATTGTCTTACAATGGTCAGCACAGAATTGGATGAGGTTGCATGCAGAGGGTGTCTGCACACTACAGGCTGAAGGGTGCAGCCTAAGGTCTGGAGCTTACTGCAGTATCCTACGCAGTCTATAATGCAACACTGAAGAATCTATGACTGAAGGCTAATGTCTACAATGAAGGCTGAAGAGTCCTAAGCAAAAGCCAAACAGTCTGTACCAGAAGCCAGGAGATGCCGTCCAAGCTGAAAGCAAAGCCTAGAGTTCTTTGGAAGAACTCACAGTCAGTCTCACCTCATTTGCCTTTTACTGTATGCAGGTTGCTCCCCTCCGGTGGGTGTAGCACTCACACCATCTGCAGGCCCTCCTCTTGCACAGGCTGAGGCTGTTACAAAGGGCCCTGGCTCCCTGATCAATCACTTAGTCAAACTTCTGACCTTCTCAAATTGACACAATGTACAGTATCCTAGAATAGTAACCCTTTGTTCTCTACATCTCAAGATGTAGAGCTGCTGAGTCACTTCGTTAAGCTTCTGGACTTCTCAAGTTGACTTAAAACAGTCACCTTTGATCATTCAGAAATTGTTTTGATAGCGCTTAAAAGAACAATAACTCAGTGGAAAATAAAATATTATTTACCAGTCATTCCAGTGAGTTCAAGCCACAGCCTAAGTATTTGGCTGCTTTAAAATTTCCATCATCCTTAATCTCAGTGTCCCACGAAGCCTCAGGACATGAGCAAAATGCTGAGAAATTTTCTGCTGGAGCGTGGTACACAAGGCCCGG